GTAGCGCGATTAATAAAAAGTTGTTAAGTTATTAATTCATTTGTTCCAAATTCAACAATAACAACATCTTATGCTCTATATGATCACTTACTTTCGTATAGCCTTGCCTATCGTAGATGTCAACATCCTTCTGGATAGTCGGATTTTCCCTGTCACAGGATCTCTATTCAGCCATTGCATTGTTAGTTTCTGTCCAGTCTTTATACAGAAATTGTAACAGAAAACTTTAAAGAAAAGAAATACCTTCAACCCTGTAGCACTAGAATGAGAGATCGGAGTTGGATGTATCTGGCTGTTGGGTACAAACACAGGCTGACTTGCTCCCTGCAAAATCTCGTTAACATACATTCGGAACTTTCGAGCATATACAAACCCTAAGATGCACATAGACTCCTTTCTCAACCATTTCCGCCACTTCAACTTCAATTATCTGGCCGAAGTTATACGATACTTCTTCGCTGTCGGTGAGTATTTTTTTGAGCATAGCCTTGGCTTCTTCCATCATCTCTTTATTGGGAGCGAATACACTGATGTGTGCATCATCTTCCATTGTAATCTGCAGAAGAACATTGTTTCAAAAACAACAGTCGGATTTCCTACCTTAGCCCCAGTTTCTGCTTCTATGAGTTTCACGTTCATGGCACCTCCTCTGAATAGCGTATGCCTTTTGTAAATTTCGATTGGCACTGTTTCTATGACAGGAACTGAAGACTTAAATTCGGCTCTTTAATATAATGATCTCATTAGGAAGAACAGTTTTTTCTGACATACCTCGGTCTATCTCTCATCACTGCCATTTTTTCCAAAACGTAATCTACGCCTTCACGTCCCCGTATCAATGATTCTGTTAACTGTTGTCTTGTTAAGCCCAGAATCTTAACGTCTAACTGGAGTGCAGTATATCCGTTCTTGGTTCCTACATATCATTAAGCTCAGATCAAAAACGGAATTTTACCAGCGATTTTGAAGTCCATATCTCCGGCATAGTCTTCGATTCCCAAAAGATCAGTCAAGACTTTGTAGTCTTTAGCAGTGCTTAATTATTTATAATTGATGATATGATCTATATTCATTGAACACATACTCTTCTCCTGTTACTAAGCCTATGGCTACACCAGCAGCAGGAGACAACAATGGAACTCCTGCATCGAACATAGCCAAACTACCTGAACACACAGTCGCCATAGACGAAGAA